TCTTCCTTTTCCCAGCAACCGCCTCTGTTCTCCGTACAGCTGGCGTTCAACACTAACACACCAACATATACTTATCAATAGAAAATTGAAACTCCACTTGTTGTTCACTCGGCGCACCACGAGATCGTACAACGCCTCTTCGCTCCCGCAGGGGCACCCGGGAACTGAGCCGAAATGCCCGATTTACACGAAGACAGCGAGCGACTGAATCTGCTGGGGCACGGTAGCCCAGCCGCACTTATTAAGCGACTTTTTCCTGCCGCGTTGGAACGCCATCCGAATTCAGTGTCTCACGTATTGTCAACGCGCACCAGCTCCGGCGATCTCCTTGCGGCGGCCAAAACTCAACGTAATAACCACTGAGACTCTGTTCTACTCAGTTACTGGAATGGGACAGGGGAGGGAGCGATGACCGGTCGGTGAACAAGGGGGGTGAGGGTATCGTGCGATACCTGGGCCTTTGCCGGGAGACGGAGAAGGCACAACGTGCTCGTCGAATGGCTCGAAGCCCGAGTAGAGGCGCGCGTCTTCCTCTCCGCCGCGCTATCGAGTGCTCGGTAGTCGGTCGGCAAGGCTGCCAAGCGACCTTACCGACGACGGGCGAGAGACGCCGTTTAACACGCAGCCCCGGAAGGATGGACACGAGGTCGCGAGGAGCCCGCCGATGTAAGCGAGGTTAGGGATGCACCGGGACGTCGAGACGACTCTCGGCTGGCTAGTAACGAGCGAGCACGAGAGGGGGTGGGATAGGGAGTGACAATGAGAGAGAAAGAGAGAGGCAGGTAGACGAGTATCTCGCGGCGGAGCGTTAACCGATCGTTGAAATCGACAAACCTCACACAACGACAGCCTCGAAGCGACTGACTGCTGCTACGATAGAGGGGGCAACTTCATCCCCACCACTGGCGGCTAGTCGACGACGATCACGACGCGCTCTCGGCACGGCCTCCCTCCAACGACGGTCTCCTGCTCGCTCTCGTGCTAACGCCGATGTTCCCTCTTTCTCTCTGTCTCTCATAAGAACACCACGTACACGCGCGCACACCAATGCGCATTCACAATGTCCCCCGCGCACCGCTGTGCCCCCGTTACACCCCTAACTACGCCACAACGCTTGGCTCCCTCTCCCTCTCTTCCATCCACTCGCTCTTTCGCTCACTCTCTCGTTCGCTCTCACCTTCTTTTTTTTCTCGCTCTTGTACGCACACTTACGCGCGCCGCACAGATACTTTTGCCTCTAATTGTCTCTATCCTTCTCTCGATCTCTTTCACTCTCTTGTATGCGTTTCATCGCATACACACGCGTACACCCGCGCTCATTACTTCTCTATTGCACACGTGCTCGCTCTTTTTTTCGCCCACACGTCCTTCACTCACTCACTCCGTCTCTGTCTGTCTGTCTCTCTCTCTCTCTCTCTCTCTCTCTCGCTCTCTCTCTCTCTCGCTCTCTCTCTCTCTCGCTCTCTCTCTCTCTCGCTCTCTCTCTCTCTCTTTGTATCTATCTATCTATCTATCTATTTATCTATCTATCTATCTATGTATCTATTCATCTATCCATCCATCCATCTATCTGTCTTTGTTTTAAAATGCATAAGACCTCACTCCATCTCATTCACATCTTTGTAGCAGGCTCTTACACATTCTCCAACCATCTCTCCCTCTCTCTCTCTCTCTCTCTCTCTCGCTCTCTCTCTCTCTCTTGCACTCTTTGCTCTCCTGTTCGACACAGTTGCCACTAAACAAGAGAGTCAACGAGCAGTTCGCACAACCCCGGACCCAACGAAACATTCATGGTATTAACTGGCGCACAAGTGCGATAGGTCCTCTACGATTAGTCGCTCCGTTACTTAGAATCAGGGCCTCGCGCTCACTTTGTGTTTTGTGTGTTCTCTCTCATCTCGCTTCCTTATTAAAACAAGCCCAAGAAAGACTCGTGACCATCGCGCAGAAAACATGCCGGATATCCTCCCTCGCTCTCTCCCTCCCTCCCACCATTCCTCCCTCTCTCGTTAATTCTTTATACATCGTAGCTTTGACGATCGATGTGCGAAAAAAGTTTAACCTCCACCGTTTTTCCTCTTTCTCTCCTCGGTACCTAATCTCGTTATGAGCGTAATTAATGTGCGAACTATTAAATTCCTGCTATGCCGTGTACAGTACACAGTAATTGTGCATTTAAGCCGCTCTCAGAAATTTAATCCAGCGCGGCAGAGTATTTTTGTGGCACAGAAAAAGCGCGGGAATTCAAAAAACTTGGAAAATAAGAGTAAGACACAATGCACATGCGATTCTTGTAGCGGCTTGTTGGGCCCTGGCAGAGGGGCTATAGAGCGAGACAGAGAGAGGAAGACAACGAATAAATAGCTATATCTATTCGAACTTATGTACATATACTGCATAGGCATATAAGGAGGGCGAGAGAATCGTGCGTGTTACGTATACATCGACGATATAATTCATGCTCGCCTGCTGTATGTCATTGACTAGTCGACGAGCGATCTCCACAATGTCGCGTGACGCATGCACACAGAAACGCCCAACGTGGTTATTAAACGCACGAACGCCTCGACAGTCGACACGCAGGTCCAACTCTGCCCCCCCCCCCTCCTCATAATGCCGTCCAACTCTCCCCCTCTCAATCGCATATCTACATCACTCGAATTATCATTGCTCCTCCGTATTTCACTTTTCTTTCTTTGTTCCCCTTCGCCGACTCTCCAATTGCTCCGATTCCTTTTCACCACGAAAAAACAGAATACAAATTCGTATTTCAACCAAAGCGAGCTTCTCTCGTTGCCGTTTAATTACCGAGAGCGCGCCAACTTTTTGCCAATTCCCATTGTCGTTCCCCGGGAAATAAAGTGCGTTTTTCACGCTCACCCTACCGTCCCTCGCCCCTTCAATCCCCCTAACCCCAATCCACTCGGTTCTAGACGTATGCAACGACGTCGCCGCCGCCGACGCCGCCGCCACCATCACCACCACTACCACCACCACCATCACCACCTCCACCTCCATCTCCACCTTCGCCACCACCACGGCCACCACCACGACCGCCACCACCACCAACGACCGTCGACCATCAACCGGTAGATCTTGATAGATCCGCGTATCTAACGGAAGACCCTCACACGAAAGCGGGTATACCTGGTTATTCGTACGTTATTCCTTTGCTGCTATATCTCTGAAGTGGTCAGTTTTGGGTACATGTGGGGAAATAAAAATCGAAAACAGCCATTGAAAGAAAGAGCACGGATTTTTATTCATTTATACGATCCGGACTTGAATTTTTGTTTGACGAAATATTATTTACTATACAGCTCCATTAATGCACAGCCTAAATAGAAAGAAAGATAGAGAAAGACTTAAGAGACTCGCGCGGCCGGCGCACGTACGTATGCTAATGGCCAAGAAATTGCTTTTCTTTGTTCCGGGCTGCGATCGCGCACTTTTTCCTCCTGTGATTTCGGAAAATTGCAGGTGCAGGAGCGCATACTCGCTTGGCCTCGAATTTTTCGTCGTCAAAATGGCCTCATTCCCCCTCACCCGGCTCCCGACCCCATGTTCTCGTGATTTCTCCGGCCGCGTTGGCCCACACCGACAAGAGTAATGCCACAAATATGGCGCCTCCTATTTCCCACCCCCGTCGCGGTGGTAAGCGAGAGAGAAGCGGCTGTTCGCGTTGGCGCAACGCACTTACAAGCCGATGAAAATGAGAGAGCGAGGCGATCGACCAACACGCGTAAAAGCCTCCCGAAGTGCGAGGCGACTCTCTTCTCTCTCTCTCTCTCTCTCTATCTCTATCTCTCTCTCTCTCTCTATCTCTATCTCTCTATCCCTCCTTTGCTCGCGCGCACACTTATGCCGCACACAAGGCAAATTTAATGTGTGCGCAAAGTAAAGCGGGTCGTAGATATATACCAGAGGCACAACGGCAGCAGATCGTAGGAGAGAGCGAGCGAGCGAGCGAGCGAGAGAGAGAGAATGAGAGAAGCGGGCATCAGTAACGAAGATAGACATATCTCTGCTAGCACTAGTGTGTAGCAAGGACTACACACATGCCCCTATGTGAATATCGGGCGGTATATAGTCCCAAGCAGTTTCCTACTTGATTGCCGCTATCGTCCTGTATGCCTCTGTCCCTCTCGCTCTTTCACTCGCACACAACGTTTTTGAGCTCATGCACAAGCGCGCACTCACGTACACATGAGACGCATGGGCTCACACAGGCTGTCTCCCCTCTCTCTCTCTCTCTCGCTCTCTCTCTCTCTCTCTCTCTCTCTCTCTTTCTCATTCGGTCTTGCGCGATCCGTTGCCGGTGTAGAGCCGTGTATAAAGGAACGAGAATCGGTCTCGAGTCCGCGCGGATTTACGTTGTCATACTACCAATCGGATTCACTCCCGCCTCGACTTAGCCAACCAGCTCGTCATCCCATTCCCCACTCTTACGGTTCGTCGTCGAATGAACGCCGACTA